TTTTCACACATTTAAGTCGCCACATGTAGGTGCTACATACCTACTACGTGTTTCGGATTTGACAACAAGAATTCAAGACTATAAACTGTAAAAAAAAATCATGTCCATAAAACAAATATTTTATTACCTGATAAAATACGAAAATCATAATACCTTTTACAAAACAAACAAACAAAGAAAAAAAGACAACTTAAAAGAGCTTTAGTAATATTCACAGGGCAGTTGTTACATTTAGGCATAATACAATTCTCGATAGTTTTAGCAGTTACTGATATGTATGGCGATTAGTGGCAGCGGGTGAGATTAACCGACGCGGTCCTGTGTTCTCAAAATTATGAGGGAAATTATACAAAAAATTATGCTGCAGAAATTGATGCTATTCATTCTAAGATGGGTCACTCTAAATTGTGAGTCACTCTAGGAAGCGAGTCACTGTAAGATGTGTTACCCTAAGAAGAGTCACTCTAAGGTGTGAGTCACTTTAAGTGACTCACTCTAAGCTGTGAGTCATCCTAAGAAGCGACTCACTCTAAGATGTGTCACCCTAAGAAGCGACTCACTCTAAGATGTGTCACCCTAAGAAGCGACTCACTCTAAGGTGCGAGTCATTAAGATGTGTCACACTTAGAAGCGACTCATTAAGCGATGAGTCACTCTACATTGTGTCACCCTAAGAAGCGAACTCACTCTAAGATGTGAGTCACCCTAAGAAGCGACTCACTCAAAGGTGCGAGTCATTAAGATGCAACTCACTCTAAGATATCAGCCTAAGAAGCGACTCACTAAGATGTGAGTCATTCTGAATTGTGAGTCACCCTTAGAAGCTATTCACTCTAAGATGTGAGTCACCGTAAAATGCGATTCATTCTAAATTGTAACCATTGGCTCTAAGGAGCGACTCACTCTAAGATATGAGCCATCCTAAGATGCTAGTCACTCTAAGATGTGTCACCCTAGGAAGCGAGTCGCTGTAAAATGTGAGTCACTTTAAGAAGCGAGTCACCCTAAGCTGTGAGTCACCCTTCGATGTGTCACCCTAAGAAACGAGTCAGTTTACGATGTGAATCACCCCAAGATGCTAATCACTCTAAGAATAAGAAGCGAGTCTCCCTTATAAGTGACTCACCCGTAGATGCAAGATATTTAGTCCGACAAGTTTATTAACCGTGTTTTACACAGTGTTTACACTGCTTTGTCACCAAGGAGTCAATTATGTGTCCTACCTGTCTCACCTGTTTTATCTGTTTTCTTAATTTTCGTTTTTTGTCGCTGTTGTTGTTTATGTTGCTATTAGTATTGTTAATAATATTGCTATAGTAATATTGTCAGTGATGTGTAATAACAACATTGATATAAATAGTCTTCGAATTTTTTATGGTAGCTAAAAAGGAGAATTCAGGTGAGGACACTTCGGCCTGTTGACTCCTTGGTGGCTGAGCAATTTTGGAGCCATTTCACAAGACAAAACTGCAGTGACCATCTCATGTTATCGGCGTATTGGTTGATCATAGGAAATGTATTTATATGACAAATCCCTGACTTCAACGCAAAGGTAGCGAGACCATGATGCTGTCACGGCAGTTGACTTCCAAAGGATACCTTTAAGCCAGAGTAAAGGCTTAATTCCCAGTTGCTAACCAGTGAAAGAACTGCACTGCATTGTTTTCGTCTTGTAATACAGAGAAGTATTTTTTTCCTCGAAATAAGTGTGAATAAAGAGCATATAATGTAGATTTATTTATGATGGGTAACTACCAATCAGAACTGGGGAGATCATTCATTAACAACCTATTTAATCAGTTAAAGGGAAAATAAACGGAATCCATAGGTTCAGAATTAAATGGAATGCCAGCGAATACACTGCGTAACATATGCGAAAAGGTGAAAAGTATTTTTGATTTTGTCTCAAAATCAGCGCGACATTGTCAGACAGAAGGGATGAGTTGCGGTCACCGGAATAACATGCGTCCGAAGCCGAGTCAGGTTAATCAAGGAAAATGCATATATCTTCGACAGATTCCATTTTGCACCCAAACGCCTCTCTTAAAGGAAATGCCAGCATGCCATCCCTGAGCCGCACATTCCGAAAATTGGCCTCGACAGGTGTCTCTGCCGACCGGAAACAAATGGTTGCTTCATTGACGGGGCTCCGGGACGATTTCGGGAGTACGTATGGCCTTCGGTTAAAAACGTTTTCAAGAATGAATTTGGCACACGCTAAGAGTGAAAGGGAATGCTGCTGTCGAGGGCGTACAGACAGCGCTGAGAGGGAAAATACTACCATGCGTGGAAAAAAGCTTGTCAAGGAGACAATTTTCAACGAAAATACGGTTGTTACTGAGAATGTCGATTGTGATTTTAATAATAAAATGATCATTTACATGGGGGATTCCATGTGCTTCAAGTGAGTACAAAGCAGACACTAATCGACATTAAAGATGCGGCTGTACCCACTGAAAAGGGCGAGAGGGCATGACTCAAATGTACGAATGTAAGTGTGATACTGAAAGCAGGTGTATGGGGTGTGAGTGGCAGCGAAACCCGGTCAAGTGTAGCTGCCAATGGTACTGAAACGTCATCAAATGATAATGCTGATAAAGCCCTCTTAGGCGCTCGCCCACTTTTCCGCCGCTGGCTGGAACTGAACCGTAACTAATCTAGATTAACATTTTGAGTGCGATGCCGACACAGACTTTTTGCCAGGGCTGTTTTTGTTTCGAAGTTGCTAATCAACGAGCTGCCGAGTTTAGACTCTTGGACTAGCTGGCACTGAGACATTATCAAGGAGGCGGCTCGGCGGAGAGCCCCGGGCCGCACTCAGGGGGACGTAATGACGAGCGTATCGATGATGCCGCAGCGACGGAGGGCGAGGGAGGGAGACGGAGGGGGAAGGAGGGAGAGGAGGAAAGGGGGGGATTCCTGGAGGCAGGCTAGACCTTCCTCCCAGATCCTTGGTGCAGCACATTCGTCACGCATCCCCCCTGATTCGTAATAACGTCGCTGTTTCGGCGCGGTTCTAAAGCCTTCACGGGTTTATTTCGGCGTCTCCTAACGTTGGTAATTAGTAACGAGCAAAAAAAGGCGCATTGGCAGTCATTAGGGGCGAAAGGAGAGCGGTGGTGATGGAAGACAGCGAGGCGAGGGGCGCTACTCGGTATCGGGCGGGTGCAGGCGTGCGTAGCGGGAGATTTCCTGGCCGCCACCGTCGCCGCGCTCCGTTTAGCCGTAAGTTATTTTAGCGGGACACTCTAGGACGCGCTCGTAAAGGGGCGAGCTTTAAGAGGGCGTACTTCTCGGGATGCCTGACAACGCCGGCGAACGCTTCTTGTCTGCAGAAATGACTCGCTCTCCGCCAAAAAAGAAATATTTAGAAGTAGCTGAACGCGGGCAGTATGAGAGTGTCCACGTGCAGGCTCCCCGGGGACCCAGCCCTCCCCTCCCCCTCCAGCACCACCGCGACGCTCACGTGTCATCGCTACGGCGCCACAACCACGGCCGCTACCATTACCACTACCACTCTCAGCCATCGAGAACCACAAACCAAAAAGTCAAGAGGAAATTTCAATCTAATGTGGGTCAAGTCAATAAATAAAAAGAAAAGAGCGCTTGAGGAAAATGCGCTTCTGCCTTGAGAGGTTTGTCCCTTTTATCGACGCGTGTGGTGACACTGGGAAGGCACATCACGTTGGCCCTCACCACACATCACTGCACGCACCACACCCACACTAAAACCCGGCGACCAGGATCACTACGCCAGCCAGCCAGCCCCTCGCGGGCACATCCGGCGGGTCTCGCTCGCACCACCACTCGCTCTGATGCTAAATGAGACCTCGCGAGCTGCGAGGCTTCTCAACTTTGCCGAGAACTTCGGGGAATCGAAACAATTCATCTTTTGAAATCAGTATATTCATTACCAGGGGTGTCGAGCATCGTAAATCGACCATGGCATGTATCAGTCATGTGTGATTGTCACAAAACTTGTCAAATGAACCGTATACTCACACATACAGAACTTCAAAAGACTTCAACGACCGTTACAAAGATCCCCATAAGTTGAGTTGCTCCGAAATACCCGCACGCTTTTCATTAATCACCTAAAGCGGTTTTCCATCAGACAAAGAAAACGCCAATTAGAATAGCGCGGTGAGAGCAGTGTTACCAAAACCTTTAATCTCCTTTCATATTGTTTTCCATCTTCAGTGAGCAGTGAGGTTAACAAGTGTGTGGGAAACTTAATACCATATTCTTTTCATTTAGTGCGAGACAAAATCAGTCTAAGTGGTATATGTCTTTTAAAAGTGTCTCAATTTATTTAGTAATATCTATTGAATCCTTTTGACCCCCCTTAGATTCGCAATGCAAACAAATCTGTCTCATTTCCAAACGTTTCATATTCATCTTCGCATTTTCATTCTACGCCTAAATTTCCGTCTCAGTTTCCCCATTAGCCTCGTCCTCCCAGCGCGCCTCTGCCCTTCGCCCGCCCCCCCCTCCTCCCCCCTCTTCCCTTCCCTCCCCCTCCTTCTCCTCCCTCCCCCCCCCTCCCCAACCTCGACGTCACTCTCCTCTCCCCCGCAAGAAGTCCTCGCCATTGTCCTGCATCTATATTATTCATGGCGGAATCTGGCATTATATTATCCATCTCTCGCTATTTCCACCTCCGTCTTTGCATTTCTTCCTCTTTTTCAACGTCATGTTCCGGTTCCATCTTCATTTCCATCTGCCGGTT